AAACAAATGTGGTATATGTTACTTTCTGTTTTCTTTTTTCATATTTTTTTTACTGGAAAAAATTATTATTAATGTGTGTTTGGTTAAGTTTATCAACATGTAACTTATTATTAAAGAAAAAAAAGAATAAATGGATAAAATAAATGGAAATATTAAAGAAGAGAGAGGTAGCTCCATAAATACATTAATAACTAATTTTTTTGTTTGTTAACAAATTGTCCAACTTGGCAAATTGTAGATCCTCCAAGTGCTTATGTGGCAAGAGGTTGTTTTTGAATTGCCATAATATATAGTATAGATAGATATAGATAGATAGATAGATTCAAAGTTGAACCCATCCAGCATATTCCAAGACCGCTATCAAAATTCTGCTTTGTGTTGCCGATTTTTCATCAAGACTGAGTTTCATATTCTTTAGTATTTTCTTATCTCTCCTTTTCCTTTTGGTTAAGCATGAAAATTTATCTCAAACTCATGGGTATCCAACATAATTTGTCCATTATTAGGTTTTTCATTAATATATTAATGAATTAATATATAAAGCCTAACATGAAAGTTACTACTCATTAATGGCTCTCATTCTCCTTCAAGTGCAAGTGAAGAAGTTTCAAGTCCTCTTTTTACCCCACTTTCTTATTCTATAACCTATGTGTTCATCTATTGTCCGTTGGGTCTACATCTATTGTCCATTAATATATAAAATCATAACATTATTTTAATATATAAAAGCCTAACATGGAAGTTACTATTTATTAGTGGCTCCCATACTCCTCCAAGTGCAAGTGAGGAAGTTTCAAGTCCTCTTTTTACTCCTCTCTCTTATTCTGGCTCCCATACTCCTCCAAGTTAATCTATTGTCTGTTGGGTCTACATCTATTATCCATTATTAGGTTTTCCATTAATATATTAATATATAGGCCTAATAAACCTGTATATCCAAAACTTTGACGGTTTTGCCAAATATAGCCACGTTTGAAGAAATACCAAAAATAGCCACTTCCATCCAATTGTTTGACGGTGTTAGTTAACGTGTTGACTCGACAAACGAAAAAGCTGACATGTCAATCTTTTAATCATTAAAAATATGAGCTGGAATAATCAGAAAAAATAAAATAATTAATTATTTTTTACTTTCTCTCTCCCTCTCCGTTCTTCTCCCACTCAACCTTCGCAATCTCTCTCCTTCTTCCCCAAAATCACTCCCCCTGTTCCTCCTCCCCAATTTCCATCCCACCCAACCTTCCAAATCTCTCTCCTTCTTCCTCATTCTTCCTAGAATCACTCCCCCCTGTTCCTCCTCCCCAATTTCCAAACTGACAGCCACCACCAACCTTCACACTCACCACCTCGCTTCCATCCACCTCAACTACCACACTGAATTCAACCCTAACCACGATCTATTTCCAATCTGCAACAGCCACCACCAACCCCCAGATCTAACTCACTGTCGCTCCTGCTGCAACATCGACAACTTTAGAGCTCTAAATCACCGCAATACCACCGGCAAAACTGCGGTTTATGAACACGGGTTGAGTTAGTTTAGCGATTGATTGAGCTCGAAGCTGCGAGGGTTTTGTGGTCCTTACCAATAGAACGATGACAGATGATGTGGAGGCTCTGTGCCCGGCAAACACAGGAAACGATGAACGGAGGAAGTGGTGAAAAGTCGGCGTCAAGGCGAGAGCCCTCCAAGACGACTCTTTGCCCAAATGCACGACCTTCAAAGCCCTCTCCGCCTTTGTCTGAAAATTGCGGACCCAGTCCCTCAAACTTCTCCCCGATTAGGAGACCAAGCTCCTCTACGCAGTCGACGGCAGGGGCAAGTTTGTGCCCCCGATTCCAAGCGGCTACTTCGGCAACACCATCGTGCTCACTAATTCGCTCTGCAAAGCAGGGGAGATTGTGGAAAACGACCTGTCGTTTGCGGCGAAGCGGGTTCAGGAGGCTGTGAGGATGGTGGGTACATGAGATCGGCGATTGATTATTTTGAAGCTACAAGGAAAAGGCCGTCTCTGGCTGCGACGCTGCTCATCACCCCTTGGTCGATTGGTTTTGATCGTCTTTGGAGGAAGTAAAGACGGCTGCGGGCGGAGGCAGAGAGAAGAGAGGGCCAGAGGGATGTGTGATAAAATTATTTATTGTTTTTTTTAGTTTTCATAAATAAATAAAAATTGTTTAGATAAAAAAGACTATTTGGATTTTTTTTCATTTAACCCCCAGAAATGTTAAAAGATAAATCAAAATGATGTGGCAAATCCCACAAAAAAATGATGTGGCAATGATATTGATGACTTGTCGTGACATGTGTGATGAGTTGGCAGCCACATCATCATTTCGTTAATTAGACTAACGGTGTCATTGACGGCGTCAAACTATGTAACGGAAATGACTATATTTGTCATCGAACTTTCAAAATTCTGGCTATTTCTGGTATTTCTCCAAAAGTGGCTATATTTGTCACAAACGTCAAAGTTTTGGCTATACAAGTGAATTTGGCCTAGTATATAAAGCCTAACATGGAAGTTACTATTCATTAGTGGCTCTCATACTCCTCCAAGTGCAAGTGAGGAAGTTTCAAGTCCTCCTTTTACCCCACTTTCTTAATCTATAACCTACGTGTTCATCTATTGTCCGTTGGGTCTACATATAATGTCCATTATTAGGTTTTCCATTGTTATTAATTCTCTACTAAATTTTCATCTATTGTTCATTGTTTTTCCTGTTGCAACAATTACCCATCTCGAAACACTATCGACGAAATCAAAAGTTGTCCTCTTTCACTGTTTGCCAAGATTGCCATCGAAGATCCATTCCTCATCTATTATGCACAATCCTCGCATTCGCCCAATAATGCACAACCTTCTCCAAACACTTTCGGTGGAATTCAAAGTTGTACCCATCCACCATGTCCCAAGACCGCTATCAAAATTCTGCTTTGTGTTGCCGAATATTTTATCAAGACTGAGTATCTTATTCTTTAGTATTTTCTTATCTCTCCTTTTCCTTTTGGTTAAGCATGGCAATTTAACTCTAACTCAAGGGTAACCAACATAATTTGTCCAGGTCAAAGCGACTTTGAACGCGATTTTAGTATTTTAAAATTTCTATTTTTTCCTCTCCTTGAGAAGGATAATTGAACCATACCCATGGTAATGATGAATTTTGTATCGAGAGCGAGTTTAATATGCTTTTGCAGTTGGTAGGTTCGGTCGAGTGTGAGTTTGTTAAAATCTCGATTCAACCCGGTCAAAGCGAGTTGAACACGGTGTTGACGTGTTTTTTTATCCAAAACGAGTTTTATCTGATTTGATTGTTTTTATTTCACATTTTCATTTTGGTTGAGAATGACAATTGAACCCGGACCCGGTGCTGACGAGTTTTGTATAGAGAACGAGTTGTAACTGATTTTAGAATTGACATGTTGAGCCGAGTGTGAATTGTTACAAACTCGGTTCGATTGAGTCAATTCGAGTTCAACTTGGTGTGTAGATTTTTTGGTAGGGAGCGAGTTAATCCGCTTTAGTACCTTTTTATTTATCATTTTCATTTTGGTTGAGAACCCAAACCTATGAGTATCCAACCTAGCTAATTCAACCTAAGCAAAACGACTTGAACCCGGTGTTTACAAGTTTTTGGCGTGACTGAGTTTTATTGTTTTTGTAATTGGCGGGTCGGGTCGTTTGTGAATTTGTTACAAACTTGGTTAAAGCTGATCAAAGAGAGTTGAACGTGATGTTGCCAATTTTTGGGTCGTGAGCGAGTTTTATCCGCTTTAGTGTCTAATAATTTCTCCATTTTTTTGTGGTGAATGAAATTGAACCCAAACCCATGGGTATTCAACCTAATTTGACCCAGCCAAAGTGAGTTGAACCTCTTCAAACCTGCGATTAATCCCAAAAATCCATAGAAAGGATGATTAAGATGAACTTAAAAAGAACAAAGCAAAAAGAATACAAACTAGACAGAAGATTAAACATAAAAATCATTTGCTCGATGACCCTTATTCCTTATTAAAGTTTATCGTTGCATCAACTGCATGGATTTGTAGATGACAATCTCTTTATTTTTGGGTCAAAATTCAAACTATCAATTTTTCAAATATCATATTCTTGCTCAACGCAAAACGATAGCGAGCAGGCTTATTCTAGTAATTAATAATAAGAAGGTTGTTGTTTAGACTTTAGATGGTCTGATGGACATCAATGGCGACTTCCAAGATGACGAGCTTTCAATTCATGGCCAAGTAATCGAATATGGTTTACAATTAACCTCTACTAACAATTGAGTTGAGATATTAGAGACCAACTAGTTCGTGGCATAATATTGTTGATGTATTGGAGTATTAGTCTCTGCCCATATACATGTGTACATAAGTAGACCTTTTGTTCGATGTTTTTCTCTTATGGACCCATGGGCGGAGCCAAGTCCTTTGGGCATTGTCACAAGACGGGGTAAGTTTCGGGTAAAAATGACCCATATATATTTATATTAAGGATTAAACGTAGCACCTATAGTCTATAGACTGTATACTATAGACTGTACCACAACTCATTTTTTTGTTTATAAATTGACAAAATCAATTGTTATACTATGAAGCAAATTTTTTCTTTTCAGAGTACAAAACACAGTCGTAATTTTTGAAGAGAACAATAACTTTATCAGTAGGTTATTACCTTATCTATCAAAAAGTACAAGGATAATTTCAAATACCGCCTCCGCCACTTTTTGGAGCTTCACTTAGTATTGGTGGACAATTATGAGCCCATGATACTCCCTCATCTAATCTCACTCCTTTCCCAAACGCATCGCATGTTGCAATTATTTTGCCAAAGTCTAAAACGAAAAGAGAATGAGACCACTCCCCAGCGGCGAGCGGCCGTAGCTCCTCCATTTATCCTCTCTCGTAACACTCTCTTTTATCTATTTTCCTCATCAATTCTATATCTATCACTCGATTTCAAAGTATATCTAAACATAAATAATTTTGAAGATAACAAATATGAAAAGACATTTATTTATCCTTCTTCCATTAATCTCATACATAAATTTCAAACCCATACCCATCACATGAACCTTCTGAACATGGATGAGGTCGCCTCCTAGCAATTGATCATATGGATTGCCGCAATGGCCGCAGGCTCTAATTTGTCAATCATTTGCATGTGATTAGTTTTATCTAATAACATCTATATCCTTGTCTCTCGGGGAATATTCCCACACAGAAGAATATAATTATTTCCCCATTTAAATGTCTATCTATATACCCTGCAGCAATACTAAATTATTATACGAAGCTCCATTTGCATGCATCATCTACAAGCAGCTACTGGGCTGAACCACTCCAGAAGCCGTCCCGTCGGCATTCTGACACGACGAGTCCGCCGCCTGATTGTCATAAGTAAGCTTGACGCCGTCCAGCCTGATCCCCGTGCATGGATTCGACTTACTACAAGCAAATTTAACGGCAACTTCCGTCCTCGACGAGCCATGGACGTCCTGGTACGTCACATCGCTGACTTTGACGCCGGAAGCCTGACCGGGGCAGCCCTTCTCTCCCGGGCAGTAGTTCTGGTCGATCACGATCGGGTTCTGGACGTTATTCATAACGGCGTGCTGGAACAATATCCCCCTGGCGAACCCGGTGCTGGGCCGGCCCCACGACTTGATCCTCAGCCCGTTTTGAGTCCCCGTGAAAGTAACCGTCTTAACCGTCACGTTCTGGACTCCGGCCTCGTGGAGCTGTTTCCCCAGGCTTCCGATGCTGATCCCGTGGCCCGGCCCACACGAGATGTTCTCGATCCACAGGTTGGTGGTGCCAGGCCCAATCGAGATGCAGTCGTCACCAGTCCCGATCCTTGAATTAAGGATCGTCACTCCGGCGGATGACTGCACGTGGATCCCGTCGGTGTTGGGACTGTCGCCGGCGGCGGTTACTTTCACTCCCTGAACTTTCACGTTCTGGCAGCCGTTGATCACGATGTGGAACAGCTGGCTGTTCACCGACGCAAGCCCGTTGATCTGGACATTCTGGGAATTGCTGAATTCCAAATTCTGAAACACACAAATAATATTTATTTATTTTTATTATAATTTGCCAAGTTAGTCAACGTTTCTACTAAAATAATAATAAATAAATAACTCACCCTGGCGCCGTCAGGGCAGCTCTTGCCTGCGGCCTTGCAGGACCAGAGAGAAGCGCCCTGGCCGTCGAGTGTCCCGCCGGAGATGGTAACGCCGTTAACGTGACGGAACATGATCCAATTCCCAATCTTCGCAATGACGGAGTAATCTGACGGTGCAACGAGGGTGCCATCTATCCGGAACATGATCGAGTTGGTCTTGCAAGGACCCTGAAACGCCACGTTCTTGAGATAGAATCTCCCCGGCGGCACGTAGACGGTGGACGGGGAGGGAGAGCTACAGGCTTTGTTCCAGGCCGAGAGGAAAGCGCTGGTGGAGTCTGTTTTCCCATCCGCCTTGGCGCCGTAGGTGCTCACGCTGTACTTCTTTACAGCTGCTGACGCCGCCAGTAAAGAGGGAGAAAGAGCGGCGGCGGCCAAGTAAATGGTTAGCATCGAGAAAGCGAGGGCGGCGGCCATTTAGGAAGCGGTAGATATAGCTAAGTCGAGATGAGAAGATTATAAATAATTGGTGATTGTGTTTGAGATGTTGATGATGAGAAGCAGCCGCAATAATGAGTATTTATAGACATGGATGGTAGAGTGGGAAATTGGGAATGATGAGAATGGCGGCTAAATGCTGGAATGGGTGAATATTAAATTTGTTGGTTATTAGAAGGCGAAGTTCGCGCCGGGATTTTGGCGGAGGGTTTAGGCCGGAGGGCACTTTTCCTCCCTTATTGGCGCCTCCATATGAACAACGTCGCATGGTGATGGTGGTGCAAATAACGTGAATAATATAAATGTCCACTATCATATAATGACGAGCTTTACTTCATGACTAAATAAGAAATATATAAGTTTAATACTAACCAACGTTATTTATTAAAAAATATTTAACTAATATCTATATCCGCTTTCATAAAATTATCCTAATGTTTTTTTATTATTACATAAACAACATTGATTATCTAAACTATTCAGCAAGTCTCTCTTAGTGTAATCCTCACCAATCATTTGCGAATTGACAACCTACTCCATTTTTAAGTTTGTTCTAAATGTAGTTCAAAATTAAGAATGTTTTTTTTTTCAAAGCTTACAATATCATTATCGGGGGAAAATCCCAAATTTTCACCAAATTTCAAGTTTCAAAGCAACCGCAAAGCTTCATTAGCGTCGAATTTTATTGCAGGTGGCCCCATATATAATAAGACCCGCTGTCATAAAGTAGCACGTGGAGCAAAGGTTTCTTGGTAATAAAAAAACGCTAGCGCAAAGCTCAAGTTTCGCGGCATTATTGCAGGTAAAGGAAGCCACTCTTGCTGAAATGTCGTCGTGGAGATACTTAAGCCTCTCAATGTCACTTTCATTGTGCAGATTATGTTCCCTCTCAATTTCTGCCTTTCTCTGCTTTTCTTCTGTAAAATAACAGCTAGGGGTTGTTTGGTTTGGTAATTGTGTGATTGCTACAATATATGTATTATTCACAATGCATTGTTTTTTTTTTTAATTTTCTGCATAAACATACATGCATTGTTTGCTTGATATGACACAAACTATAACTCAAAATGAGTGATTGTTGAGATTGTTTGATTGAGACTCTGAAGTAATTTTTTTTCCCTTCCAACTATGTCACTACCTCTTTATGTGTGTTCAGTGTTGCTTTCTTATATAAAAAAGAAAGGGTAAAAGTAGTGACATTTCACCAAAAAAGTAATATAACTTATTTAAATACTACAATAATTATCACAGAAACCAAACTATGTAAACTACAATACATCAATTTTCTTATTTACACTAGCTTTTTACCCGGCCCGTTGGCCGGAGAGATTTATTTTATAATTTATATGTTTAAATCATTTTGGATCTTCTAAATATTTTGTAACAGAGTTTGTAGTATGTCTATATTGAAATTTCCAATATTTAGCACACTCACTTGTGATGCTTCGGTTTTCGAACCATAAATTATGTCGCTGTCACGTCCCATTTAGAATTTATGTCAAAATTTATCAACCAAAACACTAATATTTAGCGTACGCCAACCTAAACCACACACACATATATATAGTTCAAGCTAGCGTGCGCCAGGAGTATGTTATACTCTTCCGTTCATACTACCATACAACCATTGAGTTTTACTATTTAGACCCGAATTAACCGGATTTTTTTTGGGGCATTATACTATACCCTACCTCTAATAGGTGAACTCTAGTCCCTAATTCTGTAACCTCTAATTTATGCACATACTTCGTAATACCTATCTTCTATCGTATCTTGAGTTAAATAAAAAGTATAGTATACCTTGATATTACATATACATGTATATATATATATGTGTGTGTATATTACACTCAAAATTATCTAGAGATCTCGCTTTTACCCCCATAACGCCATAGAACCATTGGGGTTGTCTATTGTTCGATATATAAAATATAAAAAGGTAGGGATGACGGGATCATAGCTCGATATGGTTTTATTATGTTCATCTTATCAGAGGTTATGTTCTTTTTTGCTTTTTTTGGCTTCTTTTTCATTCTACTTTAGCACCTATGGTTGTGATCAGAGGTATTTAGCCCTCGAAAGGGATTGGGATTTTAGGTCCTTTGTAAATCCAATACACATTCATGATCCTTGAGTTTGGACGAACTCTCGACCAATGTTGTAAAAATTACGACTTTTTAGTGAGAAATTCTTAATAAAGATACTTCATTATTGGATTTATTCATCCATATTGAAACTTGACACACACTGTAGCCCTCATGATGACTAAATTCTCTAATCTCGACTCATTTCCATTTTGGATGTTTTTTTTTTATCCAGACACTTAAATTTAGTATATTATATAATATGTATCCATTGTTAATTTTTGAAGTTTATACTAAACCTCAACCGGTGGTCATTGTTTATATGTTGACTTAGAATCTCAATCTAAGGCACTCACACACACTATCGAGGATTTTTGGTCTTAACATGGTCGTTGAATGTGTAATTTTCAAAGATTTTATCACTTATATATTAATAATTGATAAAGAGTGTCTCCAATACACACATATTTTAAGTGCATTTAAAATGTCTTATTATTTGAACAATATCAGTGTATTTCATTTGATTATTTGCATTAACTTATTTTCTTATACAACCTATATTAATTCGTTTTTCTCGAGTCTAGACGAACTGAAAACCAATTTTGAGAGTTGAAATTATTGGATAAAGATACTTGATTGCTGGATAAATATGTTTATCCCAATTGACGATCTTACTAAAAATTGCCAACCTTTATTTGGTAAATGCCTATGTTAGTAGTTGATGAAACGTGATGTTTATCGTAGATTCTGAACAAAGATTTTTCTAACCTTCACATCTATTATTTTTCAAGAATCTTGTGTCTCATCCTAGGGTATGAAGTCAAAGTTCGTCAACAATCATACTTAAGTCATTTTGAAAATTTTGATTTATAATCGTCGAAGATAACTCCAAGTCTGAAAGAAAAATTCTTAGCATACGACTTAGAACTTCAATAGAGCTTTTGTCAATCAACATGATATAGAGAAAATATTATTAATGTGAACTTAGGTCACATTATCAAATTATTGCACATGCGATTCCTCTTCATTTGAGGAATTTAAGGTAGAACATGATCTGAATGAATAAAAAAAATTAAATAAATAACGGTAACTACTCGATCAAGATTATACTCTAATATTTTTCTAAATAATACTGTTTTATTTTATAGATATATATTGTACGAATAAGAGAGTGTTTCATTGCAACAAAAATATAAAGTAATTTAGTTTATTTTTCAAAGGTAATTGAATGACAAATGTTTATTTTCTCTCTTTTCATATATATTTTGGTTTAATCGATTAAAACATAATTGTTTATGTGTATGTTTGTCTATTTTTTCATCAAAATGTAACTTATCATTGAATTTTAGTAAAGATGAGTAGAAAATTTATTTCATATGTTTTAATCAGATATTTTTATTTAAATAAATGTGATATATGTCACTCTCTTTTTTCTTATTTATGTTTTGTTTATTTTAAAAAGTTATTATTTATGTGTGTATGGTTAAGTTTATCAACATGTAACTTATTATTAAAGACAAAAAAGAATAAATAGATAAATGAAAAAGAATAATTGGATAAAAGAAATGGAAATATTAAAGAAGAGAGAGGTAGCTCCATAAATACATTAATAACTAATTTTTTGTTTGTAAAAAAGTTGTCCAACTTGGCAAATTGTGGATCCTCCAAGTGCTTATGTGGCAAGAATTTTTTTTTGAATTACCATAATATATAGTATAGATAGATAGATATAGATAGATAGATAGATAGATAGATAGATGTATATTATTATGCATGCATTGTTGACAATACATCAATTTAACTATCATCAAAACCTAACAAGCCCTTAAGAGCTCGTTGTCTTCTTTTGTAAATCCTTGTATGTATTGCACAATGATGATCAATGAGAAGTAAGCTAGGGTTTTAAAGGCCACACTTGGTGTTATAGTATCAGAGCAACCCTAGCCGCCTCCCACAAAATGGAAACCGAACAACAACAAACTCAATAGGATCCAATGGTGGATCCCTACTATCTTCATGGCTCAGATCAACTAGGGTTGATGCTATTAGGTGAGAAGCTTACCACCACCACCTGCAACGATTGGAGCAAAGCCATGTTGAACGCTTTCGGGGACAAGAACAAACTTGATTTCATCAATGGCACAATCACTGCCCCTGTTGTTGATCATGCTCAGTTCTCTTCTTGGACTAGAAATAACATCATGGTCCTCACCTGGATTTAACAAGCCATGGAACTTGGAATCAAGAAGACCATCATGTCTTACAAACTAGCTTCTGAAGCCTGGGCCACTCTCAAAGCTCGCTATGGTCAAGGTGATATGATTCATGTTGTTGAATATACTGAGTATTATGGCAATCTCATTGCTTTACAAGACGAATTGAACAACTATCAGCCTATAGAACCATGTCGTTGCACTTGCAATAGCCAATAGTCCTACAACATGTGATGCCATGAATGTTGTGATAAGATATAGATGTACCAACTCTGTGATTCAGTTCCTTTGACGCTTAAATGATAGATATGCTTCTTTACGATCTCAAGTCCTCTTTGGAGACAGTCTTCCCATCATCGACAAAGTATTCCAAAGAACATTACAACATGAAAGACAACTGTATGGCGCCCAGCAGGGCAAACCATTACGAGCTGAACTATCTGTTATGGCAGCTCAGAACATCAATTGGCCATATATCCCAGGAAAATGACCCAATTGCAGTTTTTGCAATGCACCTGGTCATACATAGGAGATCTTCTACCACAAACATGGTTGGCCCCCTAGCATGACTCCAAGATGTTCCACCATGACTCCCACTCGATCCCTCTGGGAAGCCTCTAGAATGTACCAATTGCGAGAGGATTGGGTACATAGAAGACAAGTTCTTCAAGAAGAATGATTACCCTACTAATCCTCAGCAAATGCCTTCCTTCCCTCCCAGATCAAGAACCTCCATCAATGCTACTGACAACAGCTCATCACCAGATGACCAACAAGAGATCAGACTCACTTATTCAGATTATGACAAGTTAATGTCTCTCATGCATGACAAGTCCACAACCAAACAACAACTTACATCACATTCTGTTGCTCTCACTACTCATTATGCTCCTAGCACTCCAGGTAATTATATCTACACCCTCACTAAGCAATGTTCAATTCTCATTCCTTGGAGCCGGGAAACATGAACTACTGACCATATTGTCAGCTCCCTGGACTACCTGAGTAACTATAAAAAGGTAGATCATATTTTCATCAACACCCCACAGGAGATAGGGTTGAAGCAACTCATATAGGTTGTGTCGATTGCTTGGATGGTATGATTCTAGAGGATTCCTCTTTGTCGCACAATTCACCTTCAACCTCATTTCAGTCAGTAAACTGACCACCAACAAACCCTTTTGCTTAACCTTCTCCTCTGACTTTTGCACCATATAGGACATAGAGTGGAGGAGAGTGACTGGTTCTGCTAAGCTCATCCATGTCCTATACCACATCAACCTCAACCTAGACAGACTACTCAAACACATCACAGCAGTTGTTAGTTCGCCATCTTTTGATCTATGGCACTTTAGGCTTGACCATGTGTCTCACAATAGGATTCCCCAGTTAAAACAACTCTAAACATCCATAGAAACCAATAGCAGCTTACCCTTTGATGTTTGTCATTTTGCCAAACATAATAGGCTCCCTTTTCCTTCCAGTACAACTGTTAGTACACATTTTTTCGGTTGATACATGTTGACATTTGGGGTCCTAAATCTTCCCCCACTTGTGATGGTGTTAAATATGTTCTCACCATTTTAGATAATTACTCCTAGACGACTTGACTTAATCTTTTACCCTCTAAAATTGAGGCTCAACCCAAACTACAAAAATTTTGCAAAATGATTGAAAGACAATTCAACATTTCTATTCAAACCATCAGAAGTGATCAAGGAAAAGAATTTCTAATGCCTGAATTCTATGCTACTTCTGGCATCCTACATGAAATATCTTGCATAGAAACCCAACAACAAAACAGTATGGTTGAGAGGAAACACCAACATATCATAACCATTGCGCGAACCTTAAAATTTCAAGCCAACCTTCCTATTGGTTTTTGGGGTGACTGTGTAAAATATGTTCTTCCTAATCAATAGAGTTCAAACACCAGTCTTAGTCAACCTTAAACCATTCCAAAAATTACACAACAAACCACCAGACTTCGCCAATCTGAAAGTCTTTGGTTGCCTCTTCTATGCTTCCACCATCACCAGCCAACAAACTAAGTTCCAAGAAAGAGCCAGAATAGGTGTCTTCATAGGATACACACAAGGCATCAAAGGATATAGAATTTATGATCTTCAATCCCATGACATTTTCACTTTAAGAGATGTCCATTTCTATGAAACTGAAATTTGCTTATCACTCCTCTCCCAACATCACAAAAACAATTGATCAATCACCTTATCCTCCACCATCCCCTCCATCCCTCCTAGATGATCCTGATGTCTTCATTCCACCCCCACTACCTCCTCTCCTTCCCTACCAACCTCCCACCACACCTATCCCTTCTGAACCAACTTCTTCATCCTCCACCAACCCAACTAGGGCTGGTATTCGGTCGGTAAACGGTAAACCGTTTACCGAATTTACCGATTTTTGGTATACCGATATTAGGTATGGGACAATCGAATACCGATACCTGTTTGTAACCGGTTTACCGGTTACCGAATTAACGGTAAACGGTTACAAACTGGTTTTACCGATTTACCTCAAGGGAAGGGAGGGAGACTGGGAGAGGTAGCCTAGAGGAGCCGGGGAGGTGGGCAGGTGGCGGCCCAGCAGAGGAGGACTGGCCCAGGAAGGCTTCTGTCCTGGCAGTGGCAGTCCTAGCGGTGGCAGAGGAGTACTGGCGATGCCGAGGACGGACAGCGAAGGGGTGCTGTGCGGCGCGACATTCAAAGTGGATTTGTATCAGCGGATCAACAACTTGCCCAGAAACGGCAGCGCCGCTAATTCGACCAAATGGGACTCCCATTCCTAATCAGGAGATCAGACCGTCGCTTCCCTGATTCCCGTCGCTTGCCTCCAATAATGGATTTCTCTCTCAGCTGCTTGTGTTGTCTTTACTTTCTCCTGATAATAAATTGGTTTTGGCTTGTGCCGTGTGAGGACTGGGAGGCGAGGAGGACGGGAGGCGCAGCGGACTGGCGGTAAGGCGGAGGACGGGAGGCGCCGTGGCGACTGGCCGTGACTCCTCACTCGTCGGCAGGTCATCGTCTGGGTTTCGAAGAGGGAGGGATGCTGCGACACCGGCGACGCGGCGTGGTCGATCGAGAAGTGGAGTCGCGACGAGGAGAACTGGAGAAGGAGAGGCGGCAGGCGAAGAGAGAGGCAGCGACTCACGTCTTCTGAAACTGAAAGCCGAATACGGAAGAAGGCAGGGGCGTTTATTGTTTAATTTAGGGTTTCCACTTGGGCGGTAAAACGCCGCATACCGGTTTCAGTAATACCGACTTACCGTCGGTATTTAACGAGCTGGCGGCGGTAAATTGGATGTCCCAAAGTGACCCTTGAATACCGTTACCATCGGTAATCGGTTTACCATTTACCGCCGGTTACTGGTTCGGTAAAACGGTAAATCGATTACCGGGTTACCGTTTGTCAGCCCTAAACCCAACAGGCCTTCCCATTGCCCTTAGAAATTCTTTTAGAACCACCAAACCATCTACCAAACTTCAAAACTACAATTGCAACCTGCTTCCACAGACTTCTTCTTCCAGTCACTCTCTGCAACAACATGTTCCGGGTATCACCTATCCTCTATCTGATGTTATCGATTACAATGGCCTGTCCCATCTCACCACAAGTTTATTCTTAATATCTCATGTTATAAAGAACCTGACACTTATGAAGAAGCAGCCTTGAACCCTGGATGGAATAGAGCAATGAACAATGAAATTGATTCTCTTGAGAAGAACAACACCTGGGGTGTGGTTTCTCTTCCTCCACAGAAGAAACCACTTGGAAACAAATGGATATTCAAGTAAAAATTCCTTTATGATGGTCAACTTGAAAGAGAGAAGGCCAGAATTGTAGCTAAAGGCTACAACCAACAGGAGGGTGTCAATTATGAAGACACATTTGCTCCTGTGGTCGAAATGACCACTTTGACGCTCTTCTTGGCCATTGCAGTTGTTAGATCTTGGAATGTTCACCAACTGGATGTGAAATCTGCCTTCTTACATGGTGATATTACTAAAGAAGTCTACATGAAGTTTCCCAAACGTTATGCACCTCCTCTTCACATCCCAAACACAGTTTATGGACTAAAGAAGTCCCTCTATGGCCTCAAACAAGCATCTCGACAGTGGTTCTCAAATCATACCGATTCTCTTACTACACAGGGTTATGTTTCTAGTCAAGTAGACCACTCCTTATTCTACAAGACAGTGGACACGAACTACACTTGTGTTCTGATGTATGTCGATGACCTTGTACTAGGTGGCAATGATCTCACAAAGATAAACCACCTCAAACAACTCTTTTATTCTTCATTCAGCATCAAGGACATGGGTCCTCTAAAGTTTTTCTTCGGTATTGAGATAGCTACAAACTCCTCAGGAATTCATCTCTCACAATATACACTGGAGATATTGGAAAAAGTAGAATTCTTGCTTTCTAAACCTGTCACAACTCCAATGGATTACAAGATCCACCTCACTTCACAACATTCTGATCCTTACCCTGCACCAAATTTCTACAAAAGACTCCTTGAGAACTCATATACCTCACCACTACCAGACCAGACATTAGCTTTGCCACTCAACAAGTAAGTCAATACATGTCACATCCAAGCAATATCCACTACCAAGTAGCCACCAGAATCCTCAGATATCTCAAGTATGCTCCTTCCACTGGTATGTTCTTCCCATCTTCTTGCTCTCTTCATCTTAAAGCTTTTAGTGACTCTGATTGGGCTGCCTGCATGGATACTCGCTGATCTGTCACTGGTTATTGTGTATAACTGGGCAACGCATTGGTTTCATGGAAAAGAAAGAAATAATAGGCCATTTCCAAGTCGTCTTGTGAAGCTGAATACATGGCTTCTCTTTCTTCTACAAGACTTCCAAGTTAGTCATCCTTATCTTGCAATTCTCTACTGCGACAACCAAACTGGAATTCACATTGTAGAAAATCCAATCTTCAATGAATGGACCATACACATCGGATTGGACTGTCATCTTGTGCAGGAAAAACTGTTGGATGCCACTATAAAACTTCTCCATGTTTCCTCGCTCCATCAACTTGTCGATCTCTTCACCAAAGCACTTCCACCAACAACCTTCTCCACACTTCTCTCCAAGTTTGGTGTGCACAATCTATGGCAACCAACTTGCGTGTGTGGGGGGGGGGGGGGGGGGGGGGGGGGGTATTAGGGAAATCATAATTTTTCACCATCTCAATACCCCCGAATTCAAGTTTCAATGACTAGTTCATAGCTCAAGTGGAGCGACATCATCGTGGAGATACTGAAGCCTTAATGTCACTTTAGATGTGCAGATTCTGTTCCCTCTCAATTTCTGCTTTTCTTCTGTAAAACAACAACTAAGATCTTGTTGACTTCTTTAGTAAATCGTTGTATATATTGCACAATGTTGATCAATGAGAAGTAAGCTAGGGTTTCAAAGGCCACACTTGGTGTTAATTTTTCAATGGTAAATATAATTAAATTTTGATATGAAATTAGGTTCAATGTGGTGAGTAAAAGTTGTTCTATTAGGATAGTTATATTGGACGGCCTCTCTTCTTTGTTCTTTGTTCTTCTTTTTTATGATTTAATTCGTTGCATGGGACTTTCGATGACGACCGTCGTGGACAGAACCTCCTTAAGGACCGTTGGCAAAGGTTGCTCATGGGCATATCTTTGTTCGAGATCTCATTCATTTGAATTTCTACAAACTTGAGATTGTTAAACGGAGTCCTCCGAATCCTTGATCAGTTGTAGACCAGGGTGCCAAGAGATGAGAGCATAGCCTCGTGGGTAAGTTTTTAGAGCGGTTGATGTTGTTATCGACGTTGCTCTAATGGGGAAATTGGCTATGGGCCATGACAAAGAGGTTTAAATGTCTTGGGTAGGAGAGTAGTTGGCATTATTTTAGTTTCCATCTACAACAGTGTTTTATTATGAATGTGTGACTACTTATATTCATAAATGTGGAGGGTCCATAAGGAATGGACGAACTCCGTAATACGACAAGAAAAAAATTAAGAGTACAAGATTAGGAGAAATCTAAAGAAGAGTTAGAAACTCAAGGAGGTTGAAAAGCAAGAAGGGAATTTTTCCCAAGAAACAAACTACATAATGGTCTATATTGATATACTAGAATAAGTTTATGAACTAGTGATGATTCATATATACTTCTAATCACTTTTTGGTAAGTGACGATGGTGGAAGATAGAGCATCCCTGAAAACTGTAGAGTTTCTTTCAACCCACAAGTGTCAAAAAATGATTAACGGTAGTAGTTTGATTGGTTTCTTGAACAAGCACTCTCTGCATAGCAATGGCCATTATGTAATTAGATCTTTACAGTGATTTGGTTTCGGACGTTGTAGTTGTAGACTAACAAAAAAGTAGCTCCCGACTTGATTCGTGTAAGTGCAATGTAGTAGTAGGTGATCTATAGTGAAGCACAAGCAACAATGATTGGGAAGACACAAGCCACGTAGTCGCAATTGATCCAACGTGAGTATTTTACCTTGGAAGACGAACCAAGAGAATGATGAGAATTTAGAGGCAGCTGTCGGTTTCCAAATAACCTTTTCTGGAAAGGCCTCTCCAATACCCAAAAACATTGCTTGTGTGAGGTATTTGTAGCAAGCATTAATAGAGAATCGATTCTTCCCAAGTAAGTACTGATGGCTGTCTGTTTCAGCTTGTAGCCAAATAGCAGGAATGATATTGAGAATGTTTTTGAGCACATCTTGTTGTGTAAGAAGCTATCCATGAAATGCATAATTGATCTCGACATTCCATGTGGTTGTACCATTATTGATTTGGAGAATGTTCGAGATACTGCACAATTGGTTAGTCGTTGCAGCAAAAAGTAACGGAAACATCTCCGAGTGTTTTCAGCCAAGGATACAACAATCCCTCCAAAATGACTAAGATGAGGTGGAGTTTGGTTTATGCATTTCTCCTGAAGTGTTCTACTGATTCCAGGAATTGTCAAGGTAGTTGAATTTGTAGTTGACAAGAGATCCCAACCAAGAGCATGTATCTGCATTATATGTGTGAAACCATTTAATTAATAGAGAAATAAAGTAATGCAGACCTTTGATTCCAAGACCTCTGGTATAACAATCAGCCTTAGTTAATTGTCAACTCACTAAGTGAATTTTGCTTCTTTCTTCACAACCAGTTATGATTTTATCCAAAACTTGTATAACAACCATAGGAGCCAACAAAAGAGACATATAATATACTGATAGAGCAGCAAGTATACTTTTGAGTACTACAATTCTGCCTCCACATGAAAGCATTGTACCTTTCCATGTTGATATTCTGCCAATCATGATGTCAACAACAAGTTGTCATATAGTAGACGATGATAGATGGGCACCTAGTGGTAGCCCGAGCTACGTTGTAGGGAGGTTCCTAGCTTAAATCCCAAGATATTGGCCAAGTTTTGGGCACATGGAACTTCTCCCACAACCCAAGTTAATTTTGAGACCGAAGATTAGCTCTCAACAAGCAAGTGTTTCTCTAATATGAAATAAGTCATTATAGTTTGCATCAAAGAACCGAAGTGTGTCGTCTGCGTATTGGAGATGTTTGACTTGTCCTAAACATGCATCATGATTCATATAGAAACTCAGGATGTGCCCAACCTCCTTTAACTTGTTGAGAATGAGTGATAAGCCTTCTTTTATAATGAGAAATAGAAAGGTTGATAGAGGCCAGTCACCCTATCTTAACCCCTGATTGCTTCAAATATAGCATGTTGATTCACCATTGAGAAGAATACATAAGTAGACTATAGAGATGGCTTCATTAATCCAAGATTGCCATTTTGAACGGAAACCCATTCTTTTCAAATAATAAAGTAAAAAATCATTGTTAACATGATCGAAAGCTTTTTCAATATATAATTTCAAGATGATACCTGGTCTGCCACTTTTGCGACGTGTATGTTTGCATGATGGATTTGGATCAATCATGGACTTTGTCTAAACTCCATTGTTTGCTTCATGCATCTAGGGGCAACAAATCCGTGGACCCCATAGACTTTAAGGGTCCAAATCAGTGGACCCCACGTAATTGAAAGTTCCACCTCTTTAGGTGGGAATTGATCATGGATTTTGAAGTCCATCATTTATGACCAAAATACCCTTCCTACTATCTTTCTCTTCTCATACCAATGAGGGTCATATAGGTCAATTTTACTTCATACATACAAATCTAATTAATCAAATCCATAATGAAATCTATGAAACAAACAATGGTATGTTTCAAGTCCATAATGAACCAAAAACCCTCATATACCCATGGTTTTACAAAACCCAAGTTTTACCAAAACCTTCATTTTTCAAACCCTTGAAGAAAACAACCCGTAAGTGTAGTATCTTTAATCATGATTGTTCTGTTGATGGTGTAGTGGAGAAGGTAGGGTGGAGAAAGAGAATAAGTGTGGGGGTGTTTGATTATGGTTTAATTATACAGATTACACCCTCTATCCTTGATCGTTTGGCTTGAGATTGTCATTCTCTAGCCCGTTTCACACTAGTTTATGTTTAGTTTAGTATATTCCAGATCCTAGCTGGTGAATAAGGTGAAAGGAATGATTGTTAGATCATTTGGAGTCAAAACCTGGAGAAAGACAAGAAGTTACAGAAGTCACGAATCAAATCACATATGTCACGTCCAGAATGTGACATTGACAGAAGTGGTCGTAAGATTCACAAGTTACAAGAGAAAATTACAGGCCGGGGAGATTGTAGAAGTCATGGTTTAAACCTTGACATTTACATAAGAGACTGTGTAAATGATACGGTGCGCTTTGGATCGATGTCACGGTTTAGTGTCCATTGTCACAACCGTGATCTGTGACCGTGACTTGCACAGTGTTGGGTATAAATTGGAGATGCAACCATTTTTTGAAGGAAGACGAATTTTAGATTGAGAAATATGCAGCAACCTTCTAGAGAGTGAAAGTGATGAACAAGGAGCCCTAGATGGTGATTGGAGGCTTCAATCTTCAATCGGAGGCTAGATTCATCATCAATCGAGAAGAAGAACTTATTCCCACAAGATGTTTTCTCTTCTTGAGTTTGTGATTTCATATCTTTCTCTCACTATGTAGTAGACTCCATTCTCTCTTAGGTGTGTAGATTTATAGCCATCTATGTTAGGATTTGATGTTAAATGATTCATATACTTGTTTACACGCTTGGTTGTGTATTGAATTGATGTATTATCATGAAATTGGTTGTGTATTGATCACACTCTTCAATATGTGCTATTTTACCTAAGGTAGAATATCCAATTAGGTTGAGTAGAGCACACTTCAGTTCTTCATAGCCAATCAATTGAACGAGTGTGATATTGGATTACAATATCGTATTGGATCGAGAACCTTTAGTGTTGTGCAAACTCTCCATCTAAGCGGGATTAGGTAACTCGAGTAGGAAGTCTAGTCTAGTGTAGAGCTCTCTGTGGCATAAATCTTGAGTGGGGAAGCTAAGGAAGTCAACATCGACTTAACCCATGGCTAGAGAGAAGCACACCCGGGTGATCTTCTCACAATTGAATTCGAATTGATCTTTATTTGCTTTGTGTGTTTAGTTTTTAATCCAAATCAAATCTTGTTATCTAAATAAAAATAGTAATAGTAGAGTACTTAGAAAAGGTTGATAAATCAAACTTATTTCCGCTATACTACACCCTATTGATGGTTACATACACTTGATCATTAGTTGAGAGAGTAGTTTAGAGCCGGTCAATTTCATAACAAAATGTAAATAGAAAGGATTAGCAAAATGAGTGATTTGAAATAACTACTAAAATGTGAATTCAAAATAACACACAGGATCGTAGCTAGCATGTAACAAGGGTCCATGACACCCCCCTTGTTTTAGAGTTAGAACTTAGAACACAAAAATAAGGTATTGTATAAAAATGGCCTATTATCAATATCTACTTGTATCATGACAAAGTATTATATAA